CCGGGGGGGGGGGGTCATTGCTTCCTCAGCCCCCACCAGATCGGGGCTGGTTCTTGCTGCTGGGGTGAGGGCACGGTGATGGGCAGGTTGTGCTGGCGGAGGGGCCGAGCGTGGGGAGATGCTGCGGGGGGACACCGGGGCACTGGTGCGGCTGCGGTGGGGGCAGGCTGGGGGGTCCCTTGTCCCGGGGTGGGGCTGGGTGTGTGGTGGTGGGAATGAGGCAGCTCCCAGCAGCTCCTGATCTCTCCCTTCTGTTTTGCAGAGTCCCCTGGGCACGGTCAAGGGTAGGTGATCCCCGTCTCGGCCGCGGTTCCAGCTCTCGGGGGGGCAGCACCCACCGCCCCGTCGTGCTGCCCCGGTGCCCAGATGGGTGGGGGGAGCCGGGGCAGCCCCGTCCCCACGTCCCCCATCCCTGTCCCCTCCTGGGCAGCGGTGCCTGCGATGGGGGAGCCCGTCCCAGGCACCAGCCGTGGGGGGGACACGCTGCCCTCCCTGGGGCCCGTCCCCTGGGCGCGTGGGCCACCGGGCGATGGCTTTGGCTCAGGCGGTTGCCTCTGCTCTCCGTCCCCAGCCGAGAAGAAGGTCTCCAGCAGCCCCATGAAGGCGGTGGAAGGCACTGACATGATGAAGGCAGGTGGGTGCCCGCTTCCCGGGGAGGAGCGCTCTTCCCACGCCTCCCCCCGGCTCGCTGCCCCCCCGCAGCCCCGCCACCGCTGCTCCCCACCGCTCGATGGCTTTCCAAGCCCACGGCAGAGCACGTGGCTTATTTGCAATCAGAGGGTTTGTTTTCGCTTCTGCCCCGCAGCTGGTTCGGGGGCCCCCCTTTGCCCCCCATTCCATGTCTCTGTTCCGGGTTCATCCTTTGCCTCCCGCTCTGTTTGGGGAGAGGCGGTGCGTCGGCTGCCGGCATGGCTGATGCCGGGCCAGCGCTGGTGGCCCCGTGGCTGCCGGTGCAGAACTTGTGGGGTGCTGAGAGCAGGCAGGGGCATGCGGGGCTGAGCTGCCAGTGCCAGGGAGGGGGCAGATCTGCTGCTGGAGAGGTTTGGGGGGGTGGCTCAGAGCGGGCTGTGACACCGGTGCTGGGCAGAGCCTGTCTTGGGTTCCTCAGAGCAAAGTGTCACTGGATGGAGGGGATCCCGGTGCCGGCAGGGACTGGCCGGGAGCAGGAGAGATGCCTGGGATTGCCCGTCCCACGGGGGCAGAGGAGCTGCCCCAGTGCCAGCACCCTCGGCGGGGGATGCCACCTCCCACGAGCATGAGCCTGGCTCCCAGCCCAGGCCCTGCGGCCAGTGCCGCTCACCGGCCGGACAGAGGGACGCGGCACCGCTGGCCATGGAGCTGGGGTGCAGAAGCCGTGGAGGTAAGGGGATGCCAGGATGCCAGGACGGCCCCGCGGGTGCCGGGAGGAGGGCTGTGCCCGGGATGCCGCACCCACCGCTGCCATTCACCACTCCTCGCTGCTGCCGCTGCCTCGCTAACGCCGCACCGCACCGCACCGCTGCCGCCACACGCCTGCCCGCTGCCGGCCACTGAGCAGGGGCTGGGGAGGGCCGGGGCCGCCGTAACGCCCGCTGTCCTCTTTGTGTCCCAGCCATGTACTCGGTGGAGATCACGGTGGAGAAGGACAGAGTGACTGGGGAGACCAAGGTCCTGTCCAGCACCACCCTTCTCCCCCAGAACCACTGTCTGCAGGGGGTCAAGGTGTACGAGGACGAGCTGAAAGGTACGGCCTGTCCTGCACCGCTCGCAGGCACCAGGAGCACCGGGCAGGGACGAGGGAGCAGCCATCTGAGCATCCCGACAGGCACCAGGGCTAGGAAAGGCTGGGGCCACTCCTGGCCAGCTTGCCATGGGAGACTGCTGAGGGCAACCTCTTGCCAGCCCCAGTCCCATGTCCCGGCCAGCCTGGCCTGGGAGCCCTCCCAGCGACGTGGCGTCGATGGTCCCCAGGGGCCAGCCCTGGTTTGCACATGGCGACCCGGTGCCGCTGCAGAGCAGGGAAGAGGATCTGCTGCGTCCAGGACTCGGGGCCGAGGGACGGCCGTGCTGGCGCTGAGGACTGGCCACAAGAGCCAGGGCACGTTATTGGGGGCTGTGGCTACCGGACCCCGGGCTCCACAGACCGACCACCTCGCCAAGGAAACCGCGCTGCAGCGGCAGCCGGTCCCGTTCAACACCCTCCCTGTGGCCGTGGCCATGCCGGGCCGTGCTGGTCTTCACCCCCACCAGCCCCCCACTGCTCCAGGACCCCCAGCTCCAAGGACGTGCCGAGGAGCCACCTCAGCAGTGATGAGCCCGGGGCAGCCATGCTTGGTCCTGGCCCTGCCTGGCCTGGTTGTGGTCCATCACTCCCATCGACCGGCTGTCGAGGCCGCTGCGCTGATCATCGCGTGATGCCCCAGGTCAAGTGGAAAATGCGATGAGCCCGAGGCCGCTCTCGCCGTGACGCACGTCTGCTGCCCCCAGTGCCGCGAGCGGCCATGCCGAGTGTGCCAGCGGCGGAAGAGCCCCGTCCCCTCCCGGGCACGGGGCCACGGGTAGCGGGGATGTGGCAGGACGTGGTGGGACATGGCAGGGCAGCCCCTGCTGAGCGCTCACTGGGGTCTCACAGCCATCGGCCATGGAGCATCGTGTTGTCCCTGGCCGAGCTGGCCGACAGCCGGACGCCATCCCGCTGCGGCAAGTGTGGCCAGCTGGGCAGGCTGTCGGCAACCTGGCAGTCGGTCGCGGCTCCGCAGGGCTCACCGGGTCTGAGGCTTCGGAGGTGCCAAGAACTGGGAACGGCTCCCGACGTGGTGCTTTTGTTTCGGCCTCCCCGTCTGCTGTGTGGGGCAGGGGCTGGGGGGTCTGGCAGCAGCTCCGGCCAAGGGGGGGTCGGGGTGCTGCTGGGGGTTCCAGCCGTGGTGCCGGGCTGTTGGGGAGGGGAAGGGGCTGCTCCCCAGCTGCACGGGAGCCGGCTCTGAGCGGGTCGGGCCAACAGAAGCTTTGCCAGGTCGGTCTGTGCCCCCATCCCGAGCCCCCCTCACCCTCCCTCCTCTTGTCCCCGCAGTGGTGCACGCGGTGAGCGCCGAGGACGGGGCCCTGCAGAACGGCGCCCACCCCCTCAGCTCCTCCGAGGTCGACGAGCTGCTGCACAAGGCGGACGAGGCCACCACCCTGAGCGAAGCCCCGGCCAAGGCGGGCGAGGGGGCCGGCAGCGCCCCGGGCAGCCAGAAGCCCACGCCACGGCGGGAGATCGTGGGGCTGCAAGCCAAGCCGCGGGAGAGCACGGCCGCCATGCCGGCGGGCGAGGGGACGGAGCCGAGCCGCGAGCAGCCCGTCACCATGATCTTCATGGGCTACCAGAACGTGGAGGATGAGGACGAGACCAAGAAGGTGCTGGGGCTGGAGGGCACCATCAAGGCCGAGCTGGTGGTGATCGAGGATGCCGAGAGCAAGCCGGA